TATTTATTTAGTTAACTCTAGCACTTGTTTGTTTTTAGTCTAAACACTTTTGTTAACAGCTAATTAATTGTTATTATTTAATAAATATTATTGAATTGAGGCTACTCACTCAGCAATGCTTTTAGATAACGGCCAGCGCTCCATGGAGGCCTGATATTTCATATTCTCGATTTGCTTCTTTAATGCGTCCCGATCCATGTTTTGTAGAGCACTGGGATCCATGGCGGCTAAAATTTATCCACATACCACCCCTGCAAAGCCAACAGAGAACAACAGTGAGCGAAATGTTACCAGATGCTATAAAAGCTGCAAAGCTGCAGTCCGCTCTCACTCGCCCACTCTCACTCTCACTCTCCCTCTCTCTCTCTCTCATACACACACACGCGGGAACATGCCTGCCGCATTCCCAACTTGGGGTTTGTTTATGGTGGCAGTTGCTTTAGGGGTTGCGTTAGCGTTTGTTTTGTTTTGCCAAGCACCCTGTATGCCTATATGGCCGGTGTCTGGCTGAGCTGAGCTGGCGCATGCGTCAGCTGTGCACAACAAATCAATAGAGAGAGTAAATGGGAGAGAGAGTGAGAGAGCGTTAACAGCGCCGCCTGAAAGGCTGCTATAAAACCGCCTTTGCCGTCGCTGTTAAGCGTGCCCAAGCACAGTTGTTTACCTCCGCATGCAGGCGGTGAGTATTTCGTTATTCTTTACTTTTTTTTCTCATCTTTTATGTTTTGCAGCCAAAAATAAAAGGGCGCGCCCGAAAACTTAAAAAATGCTTAGCCAAAAAGCAAAACCGAAATGCACAACCTAACAGCTGAGCCAAGCACGCAGCTGCCACACGCGTGGCCAACACTCTGCCTTTTCCCCTCCCCCTGCGCCGCTGTGCCTCTCTCTACTCCACCTCTCTCTCTCTCTCTCTCACACACACTCGCCTGCTTGACCGGCTTTGGCGCTGTAATTTATGAATCTTTTACTTTGTTTATTTAGTAAAGACAAAATTTGTCTTTTTACTCTTTTTTTTTTTTTTGGTTGGTTTTGTTTTTGTTCGCTCGCCTCGTCATAAATAAGAGCAGCGTGTCAAAAAGTCTTCTTCTTGCCTCAAATTTCTGTTTTGCGTGCTTGGGTGCGAAAAGTGAATGAGGGCGGTGAGAAAATGATGCGTGAGGCGGCACAATTAATTTTTGTTTGCTGCGAATTGTTTAACTAAGCGTATTTATTGCCTGTATTTGCCAAATTAATTAAGTAGAATTTAATAGAATCTTGTGTTAGCTCTGAGAACCTTAGGACCTTGAATTTTGAATTTTAAATATCCTATAATTAATATCTATAATTAAAAAATTAAAATTAATTATTATACAAAATTTAGAAACAAAAAATAATGCACAAATAAAAACAAAAACAACATTTTATGAAAAATTTTAGGCAATTTTTTTGTTCTTTTTTTTTTTACATATCATGCAAAAATACATAAATTTAAATATTAGAAACGAAAAAAAAACTGTGTTAAGATATTGATATTTATGAATAAAATAAACAAAACAAAATATTTGTATATATAAATACATAAAATCTATAATAATATTTATATANTAAATATGCAAATAAATGAATGAATGAAATAATAAAAAAAAAGAAAAAACATTTTTTCAAACATATTGTAATTTATGATTAAGTAAAAATTAAATGAATTAACTTAATAAATTAAATAAATGATATCAAATAAATATGTAATCAAAGACACTTAATCAATTAATAACAAATTTTAATCAATCAACTTTAACTAAATATAATCAAGATAAATATCCTCGTTATGCTCTATAAAATAAATCCCCTTACATATTCGCTAGAGATCTAGAGATGTCACATAAAATTTAATATATATTACAGCATATATTCAATATATTATCTTTGCTATCTGTATCTGTATCTTTATCTTTATATATAGCTATAACCAGCAGTATGCTATGCTTTCAAGAGATTTTATCAAACTGATTTAGCCGACGGGTTAAAGCAGTTCAATTCCGTGTTGACAGTGAGTTATGAAAAAATGCGCTCAGCGAAATTGTTCATGTTTTTGGAATTTCGTCTAGTCACTGTCTACACGCACACACACTCAAGCATATACATATATAGATATATTAGTAGCTGAAGAGGGAGAACTGTAGCTTGTTGTGCATAGGGCAGAGCAGACACAACAACAACAGCAACCAACAACACAGCTGCCGGACAAGCACTCAATTCAGGTGTTGCCTCTCCGTCTCGAGTCTGCGGGCGAGGCACGTGTATGAATATTTAACGCAAGCACTGTGTCAACCTGGGAGGAAGCAGCAGCAGCAGCAACAGCAGCAGCAGCAGGAATAGCAGCAATGGCAGCTAACTGCTGCCTGGGACGCGCGTCTAGACAAACTTGAGCTCAATTTGTGTTAAACTCGCAAGAGACACAGACACACACACACACATATTATTCTCACATATTTAGCACACGCGTAAAATTTGTGGCAGACAGTGTGAAATAAATTTGTATATATATTTATAGAAGTCTTTCAGAGAAAGTTCAGAGCAAAGATACTATGTAAAAGATCTGTAGTTCATTTATGGATCAT